TTTATTCTGCACCGGAGAAAATATCTTAGAATTATTCTAAACAATTTAATATCTTTTGATGCAATTCGTTAAGTATAACCTTATTTTTATTGGTTGTATTTATAATTTCTTCAAGATACAATGCTATTATTTTGCCGGATTAATTTAATTACATAAAACAAAACAGATAACATTATATCTTGCAAATTTTTGTCAATCGTGGGCTGTATGGAAGATTTTTGTTCACATTGAAGAACAGTAAAAAAATATTCATATATCAACACCATATCAGTTATTATACACTGAAGTGACAAAAGTCATGGGATACCTCTTAATATCGTGTCGGCCGTCCTTTCGCCCGGCGAAGTGCAGCAACTCGACGTGGCATCGACTCAGCAAGTCGTTGGAAGTCTTCTGCAGGAATATTGAGCCATGCTGTCTCGATAGACGTCCATAATTGTGAAAGCGTTGATGGTGCAGGATTTTGGGCACGAACAGACCTCTCGATGATGTCCCATAAATGCTCGATGGGATTCATGTCGGGCGATCTAGGTGACCAGATCATTCGTTGGAATTGTCCAGAATGTTCTTCAAACCAATCGCTAACAGTTGTGGCTCGGTGACATGGCGCATTGTCATCCATAAAAATCCCATCGTTGTTTGGGTACATGAAGTCCATGAATGGCTGCAAGTGATCTCCAAGTAGCTGAACATAAGCATTTCCAGTCAATGTTCGGTCCAGTCGCTCCAGAGGACCAAGTCCATGCCATGAAAAAACAGCCCACACCAGCGGAGCCACCACCAGCTTGAACAGTGCCTTGCTGACAGTTTGGGTCCATGGCTTCGTGGGGTCTGCGCCACACTCGAACCCCACCATCAGCTCTCACCTACTGAAATCGTGACTCATCGGAACAGGCCACGGTTTTCCATTCATCTATGGACCAACCGATATGCTCACGTGCCCACGAGAGTCGCTGCAAGCGATGTCGTTCTGTCAGTAAAGGCACTCGAGTCGGTCTTCTGATGGAATAGCCCAAGAAAGCCAAATTTCTCCGCACAGTTCTAACAGACATGTCCCTTGTACGTCCCACATTGATTTCTGCGGTTATTTGACGCAGTGTTGCTTGTCTGTTAGAATTTACGACTCTTTGCAGACGTCGCCGGTCTCGGTCGTTAAGTGCAGGCGGTCGACCACTGCGCTGTCCTTGGTGGGATGTTATGCCTGAAATTTCATACTCTCGGCACACTCTTGACACAGTGGATCTGGGAATGTTGAATTCCCTAACGATTTCCGAAATGGCATGACCCATGCGTCTAGCTCCAACTAACATTCCGCGTTCAAAGTCTGTTAATTCCCGTCGTGCGGTCATCATCACGTCAAAACCTCTTCACATGAATAACTTGAACAGAAATGAAAGCTCTGCAAAAGCACTGCGCATTTATACCTGTTCTACGTGATGCTACTGCCATCTGAAAATTTGCATATTGCTAGCCCATGACTTTTGTCACTTCAGTGTAATAATAAGCCTTATATTCTCATCAGTAAAAATTAACTTAATTTGTTTACTTAAACGAATTAAATTATTTCAAAAATTTATGTGTCAGAGACTCGATATTTCAAGTCTTTCAGCACCAGATTTGCCTTTTCACTTACATGTTAACGTGAGTGCTTCCTAACTTCCGCATGTATTTTCTCGGTTCATCTAAAATCACGCGATTCCTACTGTCCTGTGTTTTTCTAAGAATTATTTATTCTTAGTATATAATAATTCGGGGCCTGATGTTATCGGTGTCATGGATGTTTGTAGTGGTTCGGAATCCGTTTTAAACCGTAGGTCTCAGTCTAAAAGAGACGATTGACAACTCTATCCCGTAAAAAAAAACATCTCCTGTCTTGAAATCTGTCAGTAGGCAGACAACCTTGGCCCACCATGGGGCTGTTGCGCCTCTGATGATGAACTTCTTCATTTATTTAAAAACATGTCTATAAATATATCATCACTCACTTTGAGATAAATTATTCGGTATATATATGCATAAAGAATAACTTCCACGTAATTTTTTTAATACGTGGAATTCGTTAAATTATTATCCTATTACTCTTATTACTATTAAAAAATACTCTAAAAGTGAAAGGTGTTATATATATGTAATACTTTTCACTTTTAGAGTAATATATATATATATATATATATATATATATCCTCTTGCAACCGTGTATACATGCCGTGTTTTTGCAGAACAGTCGTCAAATTACTTTAATTCTGCACAGGTGAAAATCTTTCAGAATTATTGTAACCAATTTAAGCCCTTTTTATGCATTTCGTTTTTGTATAATCTTATTTTCCCTGACTATGTTTGTAATTTCTACAAGGCACAATGACATTATCGTGCCGTAATAATTGAATTATATAATGTGAAGCAGATAATACTATATCTTACAAAATTTTGCACACGATTGCGGCTTATATTGAAGAACAGCAACAAAACATTTTTATATCAATAACAGATAAATTATTATAATAATAAGCCTTATATTCTCATCAGTGAAGACTGAATTGATTTGTTAATTTAAACGAATTAAATTATTTCAAAAATTATGTGTCACAGGCTCTAGAATTCAAGCTCTTTAGCACCAGATATGCCCTTTCTCTTCCATGTTAACGTGGGTGCTTCCTAATTTCCGCCTGTAGTTTCTCGGTTCATCTGAAATCACGCGATTCCCATTGCCCCCCAAATGAAGCACAAGGAAATGCGACTCATGTACAAGAGAAAGAGAAGACACTTTTCAAAGAAGACTTCATGCGCTGTCCATTCAACGTGAAATTGCGAATCGCTGTAGATCCCTCCTTCCAGCATCCACAGCGGCAACAGAAGAGAGTTTCATGAAATATTCATTGTTTTACATTTCGGTTCCGTTCGGAAGATTGAAGGCGCTGGAACTTCCCGCGGAAGGAAGACGGGCTGCTGAATTTTGTCGGATTTCACTTTCCCAATTTCTTTTTTTTAAATTTCCCGCACGTAAAGTTATTGTCGCAGATTTGGCGTGTTATTCGCTTTTGAAGTTAAAAGTTTTGGGAGATAAATCTTTGAAATGAATCTATCCGCGAATTAATGCTAATTATTATGATGAATTGAAATGAGCTTTATCATAAATAGTTTTCATTTATCATAGCTGTTAATAAATATGCAGATTAGTTAATAATTTTAAAGGGGTGAGAGAGACGATTTAAGGATGTTAATTATTTTTTCTTAGTATATAATAATTCTTGGCGTGATCTGCTCGTTGCCATGGATGTTTGTAATGGTTTGGAATCCATTTTTAACTGTAGGTACTGGTCTAAAAATGACCATTGGGCCGACAACGTAATAATAAAAGCATCTCCTGTGTTGGAATTTGACAGTAGGCAAACGGCCTTGGCTCACCATGGTGCTGTTGTGCCACTGAGGAAGAACTTCTTTATTCATTTAAAAACACGTCTATAACTATATCATCACTCACTTTTAGATATATTATTAAGTATATATATGTATATATAAAGAATAACTTCATCGTAATTTTTTAATACTTGGATGTTTGTTAACTCATTATTATTTTATAACATTAACTATTATTAAAAATTACTCTAAAACGAAAAAGTTTATGTATATATACAACACCTTTCACTTTTAGAGTAATTTATATTTATATATAAAACCAGTTGTTGCCTCGTATACATGCCATTTTTTGCAGAACAGTCGTCAAATCACTTTCATTCTGCACATGGAGAAATTTTTTTAGAATTATTCAAACCATTTTAAGTCCCTTCGATGCATTCCGTGTAGTATAATCATATTTTCATTCACTTTATTTCTATTTTCTTCAAGCCACACATTATATTTTACAAATTTTTGCCGATCGTGGGTAGCACACACGATTGTGGTTTACATCGAAGAACAGTAACAAACTATTTATATTACATCATTAATAGATCAATTATTACACTAATAAGCCTTATATTCCAATTAGTGATAACGGACTTAATTTAATAATTTAAACGAATTAAATTATTTCAAAAAAATTATTTGTCACAGACTCGATAGTTCAAGCTCTTTCAGCACCAGACTTGCCTTTTCTCTTCCACGTTAGCGTGAGTGCTTCCTAATTTCCGCCTGTACTTTCTAGGTTCATCTGAAATCACGCGATTCCCAATGTCAGGCCCTCCCCCCCCTCAAATGAAGGACAAGGAAATGCGACCCGTGCACACGAGAAGAAGACTCTCTTCAAAAGACTTCATGCGCTGTCCATTCAACGTGAAATTACGGATCGCTGTAGATCCCTCCTTCCAGCATCCCTCCGCCACAGCGGCAACAGAAAAGAATTTCATGAAATATTCATTGTTTTACGTTTCGGTTCCGTTCGAAAGATTGAAGGCGCTGGAACTTCCTGCGGAAGGAAGGCGGGCCGCTGGATTTTGTCGGATTCCACTTTCCCAGTATTCTTTTTTTATATTTTCCCGATAAAAGTTATTGTCGCTGATTTGGCCTGTTATTCGCTTTTAAAGGTGAAAGTTTTGGGAGATAAACGGTGGAAACGAATCCGTCCCAGGTTAATGCTAATTATTATTTCTTTCAAATGAAATTCATCACACACACAGTTTTCATTTATCATAGCTGTTATTAAATATGCAGATTATTTAATATTTATAAATGGATGGTAAAGACGATTAAATTATTTTATTTATTTATTTTTAATGTATAATAATTCGGGGCCTCATGGCCGAGTGACTAGCACTCTGACGCTCAGTGTCATGACTGTTTATAGTGGTTCGGAATCCATTTTAAATTGTAGGTTCCGGTCGAAAAACGACCATTGGTCGTAGGGCTGACAACACTATCCCGTAAAAAGAAAAACATCTCTTGTATTGAAATCTGTCAGCGGGCAGACGGCCTTGGCCCACCATGGAGCTGTTGCACCACTGATGATTTCCCATATATATATATATATATATATATATATATATATATATATACGTGCCAACGGCCGTACTATATATATATATACCGGTTCTATATCACCGAAGTCAAGCATCATTGGGCGCGGTCAGTACTTGGGTGGGTGACCACCTGGGAACACCGCGTGCCGTTGGCAAATTTGGGACCTGAATGGCCGAGTGTCTAGCGCTCTGGCACTCGGTGCCACAGGTTTCGGGTTCGAATCCCGGCGGTGCCATGGATGTTTGTAGAGGTTCGGAATCCACTTTAAGCTGTAGGTCCCAGTCTCCTATGACTGTAAGAGCGTCACGGAGCAAAAGTCAGGCTTCTACCTACGGGTGCTCCATCACAACAGAAGCTGCTTCCTTCCCCTTCAATCATGAGCATGGGCTCGTGGGCTTGGCCAGCCAAGTGGAATAAGAAACAACAACAACAAACATAACTTCCACGTAATTTTTTAATACTTGGATGTTTGTTAACTCATTATTATTAAAAATTACTCTAAAAGGGAAAGGTATTATATGTGTTGTATGTTTTAATTTTGCACCGGTAAAAATCTTTTAGAATTATTCTAACCAAATTAAGCCCTTTTTATGCATTTCGTTTTGTATAATTTTATTTTCATTGACTGTGCTTCAAATTTCTACTAGGCGCAATGACATTATCGTGCTGGATTAATTGAATTTTATAATGTGAAGCAGATAACATTGTCAATCGTGGGTAGTACACAAGACTGTATTTTTCAGTAACAAAATATTTATATCAACAACAGATAAATTATTATAAAAATAAGTCTTAATTTTCGTCAGTGAAAACTGATTTCATTTGTTAATTTAAACAAATTAAATTATTTCAAAAAATTATGTGTCAGAAACTCGATAAACTTCGAGCTCTTTCAGCATCAGATTTGCCCTTTCATTTTCACGTTAGCGTGGGCGCTTCCTAATTTCGCGCCTGTACTTTCTCGGTTCATCTGAAATCACGCGATTCCCAATGTCCGCGCCCTTCCCCCCAAACGAAGGACAAGGAAATGCGACCCGTGCACAAGAGAGAGGGAAGACACTTTTCAGAGACTTCATTCGTCGTCCATTCAACGTGAAATTGCGAATTGCTGTAGATCCCTCCTTCCAGCATCCACAAGGGCAACAGAAAAGAGTTTCATGAAATATTCATTGTTTTACGTTTCGGGTTCCGTTCGGAAGATTGAAGGCGCTGGAACTTCCCGCGGAAGGAAGACGGGCCGCTGAATTTCGTTGGATTCCACTTTCCCAGTTTTCTTTTGATATTTTCCCGCGAAAAGTTATTGTCGCAGATTTGGCGTGCTATTCGCTTTTGAGGAAAGCTTTGAGAGATAAATGTTGGAAACGAATTCGTCCCAGAATTAATGCTGATTATTTTGCGGCATTGGAATGAGCTTTATCATACACAGTTTTCATTTATCATAGGGGTTAATAAATATGCAGATTATTTAATATTTTAAAGAGGATGAAAAAGACGATTTAAGAATTTTAATTGTTTATTCTTAAAATATAATAATTTGGCGCCTGATGGCCGAATGACTAACAGTCTGACGCCCGGCACCATAGGTTTCGGGATCGAGTCTCGATGGTACCATGGATGTTTGTAGCGCTTCGGAATCCACTTTAAACAGTAGATCCCGTCTAATATGACTTTAGAATGTTAGACGTAGAGCTGAAATCCCTACCTCGTAAAAACAAAACGTCTCCTGTCCAGAAATCTCCCCGTAGGCAGTGGGTCTTAGCCCACCATGGGGCTGTTGCGCCAATGATGATGATGTTCTTAAATGAATAAAGGAGTTGGTTTAAAATTACATCAGAATTTAGATTTGAATTTTTGAAATTTAGGTTTATTATATTTAATATATATATATGTGTATATATATATACCTTGCATTTTTAAAGTCATTTATATTTGTATATATATATATCCTCTTGAAGCTTCGTATACATGACGTGTTTGTGAATTTTCAAATCACTTTTAATCGCTACCGGTAAAAGACTATTAGAATTGTTATTCTAACCAATTCAAACTCCTTTGATGTATTATATTTAATATATATATATATGTGTATATATATATATACCTTGTATTTTTAAAGTAATTTATATTTTATATATATATATATATATCCTCTTGAAGCTTCGTACATATGAGGTGTTTGACAGAATTTTCAAATCACTTTTAATCTTTACCGGTGAAACACTTTCAGAATTGTTATTCTAACCAATTCAAACTCCTTTGATGTACTTCGTTTATTTTCATTGGCTTTTGTTTCTCCCTTCTCCAAGACACAATATAGTTGTACAGATTGATTGAATTATATAAAGTGAAACAGACAGCATTATATCTTGCAATTTTTTGTCGATCGTGGGTAGTACACAAGAATGTTGTTTACATCGAAGAACATTTACAAAATATTTATTTTAAATCAATAACAGATGAATAATTCTAATAATAAACCTTATTCTGATCAGTAAAAATTCACTTAATTTGTTTACTTAAACGAATTAAATTATTTCAAAAAATTGGTACATTTTGTGACTCAGACTCAATAATTCGTGCTGTTTCAACACCAGATTTGCCTTTTCATTTTCACGTTAACGTGAGTGCTTCCTAATTTCCGCCTGTAGTTTCTTGGTTGATCTGAAATCACGCGATTCCCATTGCCCCCCAAATGAAGCACAAGAAAATGCGACTCATGTACAAGAGAAAGAGAAGACACTTTTCAAAGAAGACTTCAGGCGCTGTCCATTCAATGTGAAATTTCGAATCGCTATAGATCCCTACTTCCAACATCCACAACGGCAACAGAAAAGAGTTTCATGAAATATTCATTGTTTTACATTTCGGTTCCGTTCGGAAGATTGAAGGTGCTGGAACTTCCCGCGGAAGGAAGGCGGGCCGCTGAATTTTGCCCGATTCCACTTTCCCACTTTCTTTTTTTATTTTTCCACAGAAAAGTTATTGTTGCAGATTTGGCGTGTTATTCGCTTTTGGAGTTAAAGGTTTTGAGAGATAAATGTTGGAAACGAATCCGTCCCAGAATTAATGCTGATTATTTTGCTGCATTGCAATGAACTTTATCATACACGGTTTTCATTTATCATAGCTGTTAATAAATATGCAGATTATTTAAAAATTTTATAGGGAGGATAAAGACAATTTAAATACCAACATGAAATCAGCCACGAGATCCGAAAGAGAATTATTGCCTCCAGCCGCTGCATATTTGGTCTTAGAAACCAATTAAGATCCCACCTTATTAAAAGAACTAAAATGTTACTGTACAAAACTCTCATAAGACCAGTATCAACATATGCGTCTGAAACACTCCATGGTCACTAACTGCAGGAGAGGAAAAAATGGTGATAATCTTTGAAAGAGAAATGCTTTGAACTATTTTTGAGGGTATCAATGACAATGGAAATTGGCGAAGAAGATACAATTTTGAACTTTACAAACTTTTTAGAGATATTGGCATTCTAAAATTTATTAAACTGAACAGAATGAGATGGGCCGGTCATCTCATGAGAATGGAAAGTGATAGATCTGCTTTGAAGGTTTTCAATGCAATCCCTTTTGGACAACGACCAAGGGGAAGACCGAAAAAGAGATGGGTCGACTGTTTAGACTCTGATTTTAATATTGATTAAGATCAAAAACTGGAGGTCCATGGCCAAGAGGAGAACAGCCTGGCGGGATCTTTTAAAGAAGGCCAAGGCCCACAACGAGCTCTCGGGAAAGTTATGATGATGAGAGACGATTTAAGGATTTTAATTATTTATTCTTAGTATATAATTCATCATCATCAACACGGCAGCCGAGGGTGGGCCAAGGCTTGATGTTGAATTAAAGGCATATTAGGTAACTAAAAGCAGTAATTTCATACAATTATTATTAATCTGATGTATAGTTTCTAATGATAAGTTAGACAGATATCAAGTATAGGAAATGGAATTTGCATAACTGTTAGTCTGAAATCTTTAAAGAGGGATCTCTTCTGTGGCATAGATTAATATTATTTTATGTTTTTTTTAAATTTATCAATTTGTATATTTGACAGATTTTTAAAATAAAAGGGCTCTAATTTTCTCCATATACTTAATTACGTTGATAAGTTGCCCAGCAGCCAATACGGTAAGTCCAGAAAACAAAATTAGGAAAATTAATGTTTTTAATACATTAATTTTGAACTTTTTGGTTTATTAATTAAATCAGAAAAGTGTGTAAACTCTTTTTTCTCACTTTAGACTCTATAACAAAACAAGATATGTACAAGATGTGTATATAAAAACGTAAGTATTGGTAGGGACGATGGCAGCATCTTAAAAATTTTAGAATTTAATAATCGAATAACATTTGTTGTCATACTTTTTATATTATTCACCACAATAAACATCTTCTTCCGAGTCATCTAAATCTAAATTTTAATCTCGACTAATTTTTCTTAATGTCCTGTAAAATTCCTGCTTTATTGAAGGTATATGCTTTAGTAAAATCGTCAGGTATTTTGTTCGTTTGTTTCTTTTGAAATTGTTCTACCATTAGAATACAATGATAGCCGATACATATTTTTTAAGAATGTTGGCCTACCTATTTGTGTTTCAATGTCAGTTACATGAGAGGCATAATCATCGTCATCATCATCAATAGCGTGCGGCAGCCCAGGGTAGGCTAAGGCTTTCTTTTGAAGAGATTTCCATGCATTCCTCTTGGTGACAAAGGTCCTCCAATTTTTAATCTTTAGTACAGCAAAATCTTTTTCAACTGCGTCTATCTATCTCAACTTGGGTCCTCCTCTTCCTTTTTGTCCCTAACAGGCCAAAACAGGCCTTTGGGACCTAAAAAGGCCTTTGGGACCTAAACAGGCCTTTGGGACCAATCTCATTTGCCAAAACAGACCTTTTTACAAGGTTTAAATCATTCATTCTAAATACTTAAGCAGCCCAATTTAATCTATTGATCTTAATAAATTTTATAATATCTAGGTCTTTATAACATTTATAAATTTCTGTGTTTTACCGTCTACTCCAACAATCACTTTCCCTAGAACCTCCAAGAATAGCCCTTAAAATTTTCTCCTCTTTTTTTTTTTTGGCAAATGTTAGTATATAATTGGGTTAATTAAAAGT